TGGAGGCAACTTTCCCTTGATAAGTCTGTCTCCTGTCTACTCAACGGTCATTCACTTATGCATTTTTTAAAAAATTGTTTAGTTTAATTTTAATTTGCTAAATTAGTGAATTTATTTTTATGGATTGATTTTGCACTTGATTTGCTTATGCTTCTGAATTTAAATGATATTGTAGATTAGTTCGAGAATTAAATCTTTTATATGTTTGCACATTTTTTTAAAATTTTTTAAAAATTATTTTGGCTTTTTTTCTTTAGAATTTAAATTTGCTTTTTTACTTTTATATGTGTTTATTAAAAATTAAATTTAAATTTCATTCCTTGCAGTAATGGCACAAAGAATATTTAATTAAATTTATTTTTTTAAATTAAATTCAATTTATTCTTATTTATTCCATGGAACATGTTTTTCAGGTATTGGAATTTCAGAGGTTAAACTACATTCCTACAGCAAGAAGGGGCAGTTTTAAATCCAGATTTAATGTTGCAAAAGGTTCTGATTTGAAAACTATTCATGTGCTTTTCAATAAATTTCAATGAATAGTAAGCGTGGCTGAAGAGTTTGTGGGGAATGTTGGTTTGAGGTACTCTGTAGTTACTCCTGAAAATGTCACGACAGTTTCTACACTTATTCAGCAAAATCTGAGAAATCCCACCTGAAGACTTGCACCAGAAACTGCCTTAACACGATCCAGCATACACAGAATACTGAGAAATAGACTATATGTTTCTGTTCAAGATCCAATGTCACCAAGCCATTCTCATTTGAGCTCTGCAACAGAGAGAAGACTTTGCAAACGAAATGCTCACAATGATTGATGATGACAGATTTGATGTTGGCTACAGATGTCTCACAGATGAAGCACATTTTCACCTGAATGGTGTGAACAAACAAAACTGGTGATTGCGGAGTACTGAAAACCCCCATTTATGTGAAGTAAAATAACAATACTCCCTAAAAGTTAATATTAGGGCTGCAGGATTCAGCAGAGGTATTACTGGTTACTGGCTTTTTCTTCTTGCGAGAAACGATCAATAAAATTGAATGAATGGAAAAAATAAAGAATATGTGAAAGAAATTAAATTAGCAGCGTAAATTAATTTCTGTTCTCTACTCTAAAAATAGTAATCTCACTTTGCACTGCATCATTTCGAGATTAATACATGTCATATTACTCTTACATAATTATGATGATGTAAATGGAACTAAAACAACCAATAATAATTTTACAGCATTATTAATTATATAATCAAAATGCATTGAGAACCACAAACTAACTCAGTCTGAATTAAGATTTCACTCTGAACATAACACACTTGCTCGCTAATCTTCGGCCTAGCTGGTCAGCTGCTTCCTTCTTGCTGCAGAGTTACCAAAAATGAAAACCTCTTGAAATAGGCACAAATAATGTGCCAAGTTGTTTGTGGCTGCAATATGTTTACTGAAAATAAAATGATTTAATTCACCTCTCCTGCCAGTCTCCTATTCATTATCGATCAGCATTTCTACGCCATCAAAATTCCTGCTGTTCATTACTTCTGTTTGTTTTTATTACAAATCTATTCTATCTATCTATCTATATATGTGTGTGTGATAAATTTTTATTGTAGCAACTACTTTTATATCATTACCTAAGACTAGTGTAATAATCAGAGATAAAAATGAAAGTCTATCTTAATGGAAGTAAATACACATGTGTTTTGATTTAATGTTTAAACTGATTTTCAATTACCGTAATTTCTGGAAGAAAGGCCGCATCAGCGTAAACGCCGCACTCGAGTTAAGAACGTGTTAAGAAGAAACGTTCTTTGACAATAGAACATTACATCTTGAATTTTTCGCAATAATTTTAAAAACGGATTTTCATAATTTTTTCTCTCAAAATAACTAATCCATGAATTAGTTTACTTGTGCCAAAAAATATGTTTTTTTTTTCCTTTAGAGTTTAACCGCATGCGCTACGACTGAATTTCACGGTTGCAGTGCCGTACGCTACAATATAACAAGTGGTAAAGTGTCTCATTTACGCTGCTCCGCGTCTGCGAGTGCAATCCAGAGCTATAACTCGAGAAATAAACAATCTTGTCGTAAGGCTACGTGTGCACCACGTTATTTTCATTTTTGCGATAAATGCCTATCGATGCTTGCGTCACTCACAGTTTGAGACAAAAGCATCTCGACGTGCTTAGCACGTCTGTTTAGCACAAGTGGTTAAAGAAATTTTAAACGATATTCATTTTATGAACTCTTGATAATGTGACTTTCGAACTTCGACACCAGTTTCGAGCTTTGACGACAGCTATATCGCGCATGCACAGCTGTTTCCCTCTATGATGGAACGGAGCCACGTCTGTTGCAGACAGGTTTTCCTTCTTTACAATACATATTCTTTGATTCTAACCTCCATGGTACCGCATACTAGGATTAAACCCATTTTGTTTTATACGAGAACAGGTACTTTCTTTAGTTCATGCACTGCACATGCGATTCTCTCGATTAATGGAAATCAAAAGTTGCGGGGAAACTTGCTTTGCCTTTCTAAAAGACAATCAAATTGGAGCTGCGAAAATTGGCTCTATGCTAGCTGGCCGAATGACACTCACGTGATACACAATTTGCCAAAAAAGTTATCTCTTCCGACATCGGCGCAAAACTCTTTTTTTTTCGGCGGGATCGTTGTATGAAATTCCCTGACTTTTCCAGATTTTGACTAAAATACTTAAATTCCCTGACTTTTCCGGTTTTTCAGGTAGCGTGGCAACCCTGTACTTCAATGGACATGAACATTTTGGAATGGGAATTCAAGACACTAATTCCTAGTTTTGATCCAAAAATTGATGCTAGAAGCCTTTATTTGAAAGGCAATTCATTTTTTTAAAACACCTGAAAGAAAAATGGGTAATGTATATATATTTAGGGTATTTACCAATTGATGTCATGGATTTAATCACGAGTATCAGAATAGGAATCTCAAAATTGTTGCAGAAAAGGTTTAAATTTAGTATTGATAAATTTAGGCAATTGTTTTTTCAACATAGGAAAAACCTCCATACACATGGGAAACCTTTTACTTTCAAATGAGGAGCTTTTTTGAGGGGGTGGCTTTCAGAATTAAAAATGTGAAATACATCCTGGTAGGATTTCCTTGAAAGATTTTTCACCAGATGATTTCCACTAAATTTGTGAACAAGTGAAGGACCTTAGTATCACTGATCAAATCAAAAAGTGAGCCCCACTGGAATATAAAGATCATTTTATTGATGACTGAATTTTCTGGAATTTATCTAGCAAACTAGCCGATCAATTGGATGAACATGAAAGTGTAAAAAAGAGTGGTGAGAAAAATTCTGCATCCTCCAGGGTTAAAACAGTCTTCTGTGGTAGAGAAGAAACCTCCAAGCCTGGTGTCACAAGAAATGATAATTCATTTAGTGATCACAAACTGGGAAGGAGAAAAAACAAGAACATTTATCATTAATATGTTAGAGATAATGGTTTCCATTAAAATAAAATGTCCTTAGTGCAATAGCTCAGCTTAGGAATCAGCTTCATTTGAAAATATCCCGCTGAACAAGGATAGACCTCTCATATGATGCATTTGCCCACGACTCCAATGTAAACGGACGTTGACTGCAAATGAACATTTAATGTAAATGTTTATACCAAAACTGCAAGCATCCACCTAGAGCGCAGAATGTTCAAAACAGCCCTTTGTCTTGCAATATGCCAGAGGTAATCATATAATCTTGGGAGCAGATTTTCTTTATAATGCTGGGATTGTTTTAAATTTTAAAGTGCACAACTGGTTCTTTTATAATAAACCACATAAGATGTTTGATTCAAGTAAGTAAATTTCAAGCATCTGCATATACCGGTGTTAATGCTAATTTCTGCCTTTTGCACAAAAAGGGGGTGGGGGCATTTAAATGAAATGCAGATTAAAAACCCAACTCCCTTGTAATGAAATATGAGACAGTCATGCGCAGGAGAAGGATTAACTACATAAACATTAAACATATACAAACACTGAACATCACATAAAAAGGCTGTACGAGTGTAATTGTTACAACCTAATGGAATAGTATCTGCAAGAGTTAAAGAATGAAGAATCAGTATAATATTCATAAATTTGCAGGATCAGTTTCGAAAGTTTAAACAAGAAACTTCTTTAGAAAAGGGTTCTTTTAATCTTTTCTGATAACCTGAGCATATTTGCTTGATTTCATTGTGTAAGGACTACTTTGGAAGAATCTGTGAAGCGGCAAAACATCGACAACTTAGAATGCAGACAATTATGAGAGAAGTAAGATGTGCAAACATGCTATAAAAACAATTTCTCTAAGGTAGGAAACAATTTCAGAATTCAAACTATTGTAAGCAGCCCGGAAAAAATCATAAACGAATAAAAACTGATTTCCAAGATACATATCTGGCGATAACTGATGATAATGCTAATCTACATCAAAGAAACTCTGTTGATGAATTCCTTGAAAGTGAAGATTTTGAGCGAATACAGTGGCCAACAAAAATATCTAGATCTTATCCTAATAGAAAACTTATGGGATTACTTTGGAAAAGCAGCTGCACAGAGACATCCTCCACCTAAAAACGTAGATACTCTGAAGACTGCATTGCTGGAGAAGTAAAACTTAATTCCCAACCTGTAGTTAACAACATTATTGCAAGCATGAAAACACATAGTTCTAAGTGTGTACAAGTCAAGGGAGATCACATTCATATTAAATTCATAAGCCTTAATTCTTTCCAAATTATTCTTTCTTCCCCGCCTTGAACTCTCCTTGAAACATATTACCATTTTTATTGTTGCATGCTACGGTTTTATATCATACACAATGCTCGCAAATTATTTTACCTTTTATTTATGTGTCTTTCCACACAATTTGCAATTTCATATATGTGAAGATAATTTTGGACATGGGTGAATATAAAAGAAGGGGGGAACCTATTTTAAAGTGGAAATAGTAATTATGATAACAAACAGTCAGTCTCACCTTTGCAGGATTACAGTTAGCAGACACAGAACGTACAGGAATTTGCTCGATACCGCACTCTTTGAATAGCGATGAACCCTTGAAACTATAAACAAATTCATTTCATAATGTTAGTCAATTACATTAGGTTTCAGGAAGAAAGTAAGCAAGTAATTATTTCCTACATTTCTCAACACTGCTGTAATAGATTTAACCACATAATCAAATCTTCAGTGATAAATCAAAACATTAAAAAATTAATTCTACTTTTTATAGGAAATAAATAACCACTAGATGATTTATATTTTATAGGATATTTTAGTATTAAAATTTAATTGAAGTTAATATACAACTCAAACTTTTAGTAAACTACCCCCAAACACTTTTCTTCAAGAAATACATATAAAAGTTTAAAAAGCTATCCTGAAGACATGAATTCACTGTGCACAATAATTAGACAAATTGAATGAAATGATTTGCTATTTCACTTGGGAGGTTAATCAGTTACCAAGACAATTTTAAACAAGAGTCCAGATTAATTGACATTATATTTATCTTATACAATGAGGCACCAAAACAAAGCTGCAATTTAAATGTTTGGCTAATTAACTTATTTTATTCAGTTGGGAACCATTGCATTGCTTGATAATGCATCTTCCCACCAGTTAATAAATACTTCACAGAGGTGTTCACACACACACACACACACACACACACACACACTGTTCTGAAAATAAGTATGTGTATGTAATCATCTAGTGTATTATTCTCCAGTGATTATTTTGACTTTGCCAAAACCAGTGTCCTTTCAAAGGAAGTTTTATCTGACAAGTAAGAGCTAAAAAGAATTTAGACATTCTCTTAGAGCCATGCCTAAAACAAACTTGTACAAGCCTTCTTTTTGATTGCCTTACTTATATGTATTTTATATTAACCTTCTTACAAAGAATACTTCAAATAGCTAGTTTTTGCTCATATTTATAAATAATTTAAAAATTACGTTCTTTCTTTAATAGGTCATTTACTTGTCTTAAATTTGTTAAAATCATACGATTTAGGATATTTGCACCTGATATTAATGTATCAATAGATAGTAGAGAATAAATGCTTGATTCTGTTGCCCCAAAAAGTTCGGGAGATGCTTTATTCCTCTATCATTCGGTTAACACATTTTAACTCAAATATTTACACTGCACATTTTATTTTAAGCCTAATTTGCACTTAAAATTTCTCAAAAATGAAAAGCAGTCTCCCTGAGGAATACAGCTACAGTCTTCCCATGGACTACACCTACAAGTTTTAAAATACTTTGATAAGAATAAAAAATTTGGGGAAATATAACTGGAGAAAACCGAATATGTTTCCGACAGAAGGAAGTTAGAAGAAAAAACAAAATTTTACAGAAAAATGCGTCAAAGAAATGGTGTATTCAAGGTGAATATCTGGAGATTCAAACGATAGTTTGCCGAGGTCTTCACTCAGTAGAATGTGTCAAATAGTCTAGCCAATGGGCAAATACTAACAAAAAAGACAAGAAATTACATCATGGTCAAAATCATCAAACGGTGGCTGCTTTTTTCAGTGAACGGCTGTATAAATTTAAATTACTCTACAGAATGCTATGTAATACCTCAATTGGAGAATCCAAAGATATCCGAGTTGAATTTGTTGAAACTTCAAGAATTTATCCTAAGAAGTATATGGATATCAGGTAGACATGATTTCAGTGCTTATGAAACCAGTCCTTTCTTTCATCTCCTGCTTTCAAATGTGGACAAAATCGCTTCACTATTTTACTCTGACCAAATACTGATGAAATGAAAAGTGATATCTCTTCTAAGACTGTCCCACGAAACAAGCAGTTTTAAAAGTCAATAACAGTACACATCAAATAAAAAAGGGAGGACTGCAGATACATCCACAGAAGGCCTCAAAAATCATTAAGGCAGCATTTAGGTTTTCTTAAGCTAGAAACCATTAAGAAGAAAAATTCAAGGCAATTAAAAGATAACATATTCTTTATTTAGTCTTATTTACATTACATTTGCTATAGCAATTAAAAAATGAAAAATTTCAAATTATTCAGAAATACGGACAGAATTTTAGCGAACTAAATGTAGAACATTAAAATCGTGTGAAGGCATGGCAAAGTGATAAAAGTGGAAAACTGAGTGATCATACTAAATTAAAATGTAGATTATACATCTTTCTCATTTATACAGCTGTTCTGAAAGACTTACTGTGCTTTATGATATTTTCTCTTTCAATGCAGCTTTCAAAGGCACTGTGATGAATACTAGGTCACATAGTATTCTTTCAAAAGAAATACAATCCAAACAAATAAAATTTTAAAAAATGTTTATGAAAAAACATACTTCATGCATAAATTGCACAGCATGAAAGAATAAACAGAAAGTTTTAACATAACTATAATTCAATCATGCAACTCAAGTAATTATAAAAAATTCTCTAAGGGAGAAAATCTAAAAATTACAACTGTGGTTAAAAAAATACTACAAAAATTAAAATATTTCCATGAAAGAAGGAAAGAACATTTTTCAGTACATTCAGAATAAAAGAGAAAGTGAAAAGGTTTAATATAAATTGAAAAACTAACTTCTTGGCAGAAAGTAAGTCTGTATGTTAGAAGAAAGCCATGCATTTAATACAAATCCACGCTTTTGAGACATGAAAAATGCACAAATTGAATTTCATAAATCACCCAAGTAGAATGGAAGATATAGAACAGCCCTTCCCCCCTATTTTTGAGTTGGTGTACATAGGAACATATTCACAGGGCAGCAGGTTGACCAAATGACGTGTGCGCATGAGATTATAAAATCCATAAATATCTCTATGCTATTTGCAATAAAATACAATCACGCCACTCAGAAATGACCACCTTTATTCAATAATGACAATTTTTGTCATTTGATATGCGTTACCTTATAATTTAAAATATTTTGCTTTCCTACTTTATTGAAAGCTGTAAATGCCATCATAATTGCACAAATTTAGGTAATAAATGTTGTTTAAATACAGTTCTTGATAAGCATATCCAAAAAGGTATGCCACTTAGAGCGCATGCAAGTATGTGAAGAATGCTACAGCTGCTTTGTGAAGTATCCTTCCATTCTGACAACACTTTTAACAAGCAATTTTGTCCTCCATGACTGATCTCTTAGAGCACCACATTTTATTACGTGATTTTTTTTTTCATTGCATGAAAGTTAAAAACTTGGTAATTTTCCCCCTTAGCTGTATATAATCTCAGAAACCATTGTTACTACAAATAAACAATAGTTTCTGAGAGTAAATGATACTGTCATTTAAAACAGTTAAAAAATATTGTTTTTAATCTTCAAATAAGTCATCCCATAAAATGTCACTTATAAATAATAATCTTAATATATACTAACCTTAGTCCATCATCAAGGCAAGCATAAACACCACAACACTGAGGAGACCATTGTGCACATCGTGCTATGCCTTTTCGCAATGAACAAAATGGCATACCTGCAAATAAATATAAAGCATTAGGAAATATGAATACTTTTGAATTATTTCAAAGCATATTCATTAAAGAATATTTCATGTACAAAGTACAACAGTAAATCTGACTGCAATAGGTTTGAAAGTTTTTTAAATATAATTACTTGTATCAATGAGATCCCAGAACTTCAATGTTTTATCAAAACTTGAACTGACAAGCCACCGATTTCCAGGCAATGCAGCAAATGCTAAACTTAAAACTGGAGTTCCATGAGCTTGAAATACTAGATATGGCGCAATTGCTTTCTGAAGCTCATTTTTCATTATTATAGTTGCAGATGAGTTCACAAGCCAGACACATATCATTCCTAAAAATGTCAAAAATATTTCAGAATTAACAAGATAAGATACACATTAAAATTTTTCAAATCATTACTTTCACTAATGAATATAAAATGTGCCAGAATAAAGTTGGTTTATACTAGGAACACATTCTAATGCCAAACGAAAAAAGCCTATAAACATATTATAGATAATATGTAGTTTATGAGTTATAGGATGCTGAAGATCAGTTGATAAGATGCAATCTGAAAAGTCACCGAATTTTCTGCTATCAAAACTTTGAACCCCAGGCTCTACAAGGTCAGTTCTTTTAATAAACACTACACATCAAAGATACCCAAATAAAGATGTTTTAATATATGGTATGTAATCTTCCAGGCAAGTCTAAAATATTAAAATATCTAAAAATAGACTAAAATTAAATACTGCTGCCATTCACAAATTATACTGAAATAAATACTTAAGAAGCAGACGATAACATCTTCTCAGCTGCTGTTTACATACATTATAATTAGATCACTTTACACTATATTTTTACATCATGTTCATATAAATGCACAATATAAGAGAACATATATTAAACCAATTACAAAAATTAGAACAATATGTAGGATAAATAATCTCAAGTCTACTTTTCACAAATCCAGTTTGTCAGAAACTTTTATGTGTCTACATGATTCAGATATTTTCATTTTAGATTTTGGGATGCTATATATTGTCAACTAAGTCTTTATTATCAGTACAATTTTTATTTTTTTCTGCTTGCAGGATGTCATTAGTGAATGAAACCTTTAAAGGCTACACATGCTGAATTTGATGGAGTACTTTCAAATCAGATGTCTGCATTTTTGTTAGTTTAACATGTCCAACCTTTAGAGGAATAAGTTATATTTTTTGACCCAGTGGGCAGCTGATTCGTTTACTGTTTGTTCCCGTTAACACAACATCTTCAACAGTTATTTTAGGAACATCTTCACTTTTTTCCTCTCGGAACGAGAAGTTCCAGGTATTCACTTCTGAATAAACTTCTCAGATTTCTCTGCCAGTTTTGTCTCTATCTGATTCTTTGATTTACGATCTGAATAACATAAACATCCTGTATATAGTATTCCTTGATGTCTTGCAATTCATGCCTTGAAAGTCTGCAACAGGGTTCATAGCCACATTTTAGTTAAAAAAATAAGCACCTGTCTAATTACATTATACACAACTGCATAACCTTAAAAAATAGACTTGTAATTTAAAATATGAGAAATGCAGTATTTATTAAGAGAGAATAAGCATTACCTCAACCATGGAAAATAATTACTTTTTTTTTATAATTTTAAATAACAGTTCAATTTACAGAACTAGTTTACAATGAGAGGGGAAAAAAAAAAAAAAAAAAAAAAAAAAAAAAACTATGCAGAACTAAACTGTATTAGAAGATTTAATGATGAAATTTCAGTTCAAAATAGAGAAAATAAATAATAATAAGGCATATTTATTGTATTCGCTTGGAACCTAATAATAAATACAATTTATTTTTCCACTCATATTGATATTTAAATAACTTAAATCTAAATATTGAACATTTTCTAAATGTTCATTGTATATCATTCCCGTAACAGATATTGCAAGCAAAGAAATTTAAGTAAAAAAGAGGAAAATTTTTGAAATCAGAAGACAGAAATTAGCTTCATGCAGTCATCCTTTAACAGTAAAACCTTAACTAACCTGCATACTTGGAAACTGGTGAATATTCGGACAGTCGAGCGTAACTTGAAAAGAGGAGTGGGGGGGGGTTTGACTGTAGCTGCTCTTTAGATTTTTCTGCTAAATAAATGCTTTTGACATTTTGATACGTGCATGATATAAAAATAAACCAATGGAACTGAAAAATATTCTGCTTAGCAAGCACAGTAAAACTCTTTTAACCCTTTCGTGGGCCATTTATTTCTCTTTTGAATTTCTCCCAGTTTTTTATGCTTTATTATCAATTAAACAATAGTATTTAAAGAAATATATTTTATTTTGCCAAATTTTTTGTTTACATTTAAGTTCTAGGGGTGGGAAGTATACTTCCCACGGGACCTTTTAAGGTCATAGAGAAAATTCAATTTAAAGGTGATTATTTGCTGTGAAAAGATGAGAAACATGTTGCAATACACAAGGGTACTTCAGATACTGCACACATATAGAGGGTACTCTTTTCTTGGGCTTGTGCTACATTTCTTACATCGTCTATAGTTGGAAACCATCTTTGGCATATGGATTTCGCCACACTGACTAAGCGTACATCATACTGGAACTGCACACCGTTTTTGCTTCGGAAGCTAGCAGGACAGCCTTTCTTTTTTCGAGAAATATCCGTCTATTAGTTGATACGAACTAATGCTATACGGAATGTTAGCTGGTCTAAACTTCTTTTCTTTGCCATAGTATAAAATTATTTACGATGCCACCATTCTACAGATCTTCCTATTTGGTATCTTTCTTTTCTTTGATCGAAGCAATCAACCCCTCCCATGAATATCGTTATATGCTGGCAACAGCTTTAGGGCCATCAGGTACTTCTGTTTTAGTACCATCCTTCTGTGTACGATTTATAGATGTAATAATCGCTGAATTGTGTGTAGTAGTCAACAATGTAACAGCCTTTTAGTCCATCCACTTTATTGGAAGAACACCTTCCTTAGTTAGGAACACTGATTCCCCTCTTTGCAGTTTGTTATTAGCCTTCAGCATTGGTAGGAAGATCCTTCCTTTGCGGCCTCACAGTCCCCACAGAAAACAGACCACTTATAAGTAGACTTTTCGCAAGACTAAAAGATGTCAAATAGTTATCATAGGCTATAAGCTGACCTTTCTGTTTCACATCTTCCGTTAGTTTAGTTGTTACTGTTTCCCCTAAGCTCAATATTTTATCCTTATTATCAGAAGTTTCTTTTCCACAATAACTTTCAAAGTTTTGAATATATCAAATCTTAGTGTCTGCTAAACACCCCACCTTGTAACCTCTTTTTATAGGCTTCATTGGCATATACTGCTTCAATGAAATTCTCCCTTTGAAAGCTATCATACATTCATCTATTCATAATGTTGACGAAGGTTTGTAGACTTTAAGTATGAAATCATTGAGCTGTGAGAGGATGCCTGATTTTATGGAGTTTATCATGCTCAAATTTCTCACATGGATTTGTGCTGTTATCATTTACATGTAAAGTCTCAGTTATTTTTTTGAACCTCTTTGCGATTATTATTCTTGCTACCGATTGAACATTGAGAATAGGGTCTGTGCTCCAGTAGTTTTTCAGTTCAGGCAATTGATGTATACCCATGAGTATATGCATATCTACCCATGCTTTCAATTCTTCTGATGTGATTTCTTTCCAGTTCAGGATAATGCCTTTTGTGGTATGACCCAATCTCTTCCTTTTCTTAGGCTGCTTTGCATACGAGTTTGTTTCGTCAACAATATTCTGTAAAATTTCCGCGGTAAAAATCATGCCAAAATAATCCTTTTTTTTTCTCAGTATAACTGAGTTATATTTTCAAATGTACTTTCAAAAATATTCTAATTTTTCCAACATACCTATTGCACATGGCTTTTATACATGATGCAATAGCATTTTCACTTTTCACCCATTATTTATTATTCAATATTAGATAGTTACTGCAGAAATATACAAAATAAGAAAACGTTATTATAATAAAAACAGTGTTTTACTTACATTTGTAGCAGAAACGTATAGCAATTCAAATGTCAAATCAAAACAGGTGTCTGAGTGGAACAGATCTCACACAACATGTTCGAACTTTCAAAACAAATGTGGTAATTCTGTTTCCAATCGATTGAACACAGATGGCAGCACAATACTGAAGTGGGAATTAGTGTTCCCAACGTTATAATAGCAAAGCCAATATATAGTGGGTTTTGTGCTTCCCACAGGTGTATTTCCCAGGAACACGTAGGTGGGAAGTAACCTTCCCATGGCCCACGAAAGGGCTAAGTGTTCATAAACAAATCGCGGACAGAACATCAAAATGAATTATCTCTGCAAAGTATTGCAAACATTATTGCGCAATATGTGTGCCGTAATTCTTCCCTACATGATATTACGCAATTGGAATCAACAGCTGCGGGTATCGAGAGAATAAAGAACTAAATAACTGAGGTGTTTTTCATTCTAATTTTCAACAGACAGTGTTAAATTTCCGGAATAGAATCATTCTTCGCTTGGGTTGGTAGACCGCAGAACTTTTAGTCCTATTCAATCCAGATTGGAAAGTGACAAAAAAAAAAAAAAAAAAAGCCTGTTGCTTGTTTTGCAGCGAACTGTAAGTTTCAATATTCGAGATTTTGCGGAGAAAGGGGAGAACCTCCCAATCTTCATACTGTATAATGTATTGGCCCCAAAAAATTAAATTATTTTGACTATTCGATTACTTTCCCTTTATTTAAGCCATTCCGAATATTATTCATTAGAAAGCTAATCTGTGTTAAAACACAACCATTTTGGAAGTTTACTCTACTTCAGCAGTTACTACTGCAACTATGTTATTATAACATTCATACATATGCTCATAATATAAGCATAATGATCATAATAAACACGAATATGAACTGACCAAGCGGAACGAGAATGCAAATTATTAAGATCTTGATAGAAATTCAAATGTGTGTAGTATTTGGGTGGGTGGGAAAGAATGCTGAATGTACCGGAATTTTCTACTGCTTTCGCAATTCTTTGACCAACAGAACGACGGGCACCTGTCTGTACTCTTCGTGCACACCAGAGGTTATGTTAATGCAGAGAAAGGGGGAAAAGCTATTTCTGGGAGTATGATTCACCATCTGACATTCCATATTAGGAAGAAAAGTTGTTTATTTGGTTTCGGCTTTGGTACGGGGAAAAATAGCATGTTCATTAAAAAAAAAAAAAAGCACTAAAAGCAAAAAATAAGCACTAAAAACAAAACAAAAAAAAAAAAAAAAAAAAAAAAAAAAGGGCTTTAAAGAAAAAGTAAGCACCTGTAAGGGCCTTTATATTTTATTTTCAAATATAAGCACTTATAAGGGCCACTACAAACCCTGTTCAAATTAATGAGGAACTTGGCATTGTTTCTGTTTTATTAAAGCTTTGATATCTGGTAGAATCTATATTGTTATGATTAGTAAAGAATCCTACAAATGTTGATTTGTCAGGCATCTATCTTGTTTTTGATTTTGTATTCTTCATTTGACTAAACAACTATTCATATATGTAGGTACTACCAAAGATTGAGACATGAACACATACTTTGAATAAAAATCAAGTAATACAAAATTGTCAAGAAACCTGCATTTTACTGCACACTGACACTGCAAATTCTAATTCATGTTCAGGAGGAACACTTTTGATGTCTACTGATAATGGCAAAACCATGCTCATGAACACTGAAGTCGGAAAAAATCTGCTGTTAAATTCCACTCTCAGATTTGAAATGTTCTGTACATAACTAATTATCCAAGTTCCGTGTTGTAGTTTTAATCAACAACTCTAGCAAAACTTTTTTGGTGGATGAAAAGCCATCATATTACTGTTTTCCAAATGGCTTTGCATCAGATTTGAGAAATATTATTATTCCTGTCTTCTGCCCAGTCATAGAAGAACCAACACCTGTGGTTGTGACACATACAAAGCACAAATCCAACTCATATTTTAACTTCACTTTCTATCTTGTGGTTTCACTCTTTGTTGCGGCTCGCAATGAGATGATATTACAACTCTTATCTGTAGCTTCCAGTAACAAGAAAATTGTCTACGTCTTTACAATGCATAGAGATTCATATCATTAAAAAGAGGGGTCCTGGTAGTTGAAAAGTAAGGTACTTTCCTCAGTATGCTGCTTTGGTGTCTACTTCAGCTAAATGAAAGGCACCTAGTCATTCTCACTGGTGTCAACTAGCTGGTTTCCTGACCTTAGTGTTGGCAGCTTACAAATACGCTTTTGGAAGTACATGATATGGTTTATTTTTACAAGCTCCCATATTTATGACACCTGTGTAATATGATCAAAATTCATAATCAGTATTTGAAAATGCTGTAGAGAAAAAAAAATACCTACCATTACCATATCCACCAGCTATGCGCTCGCAGGCATCATTTTTTTGCCAACACAATGAAACACACATTGATTTTCTTGTACCAAAACAAGGATCTCCAAACAGTGGATGCAAAACAGCAGATGGTGATGTGCTGTAAAGTGGTGCAGTTTCAGTAAATGATGGTAAAGATTCTGGTTGGGGAATACTGTATATGTAGATGTTTGAATTTGAACAAGCTACTGCCAACAGTCCAAGGCATGGCATATCATCTGATGAGCATTCTGAATTAGGATCCTCCCAACAACCACTAGGACACCATACCATATCCCAGACAATTCCATGTTCATGAGCTATACCTAACTGCATTAATGGTTTAGTTTCTAACCTAAATAAAAAAAGAAAAGAAAAACAAGAGTTAAATTTACAGCTGCAAAAATGGATGTCAAGGATATTTAAGGAATTTAAAGAACAGACATTTCATTAAAGGCTTTTCAGCAGATATTCATATTTTTATAAGCCTGTAATATGCATTACAATATAGCGTGATACCACCGGGTAATCTTACATCATCACTTTTACATAACAATGACTACAGCGAGATAATTTAAAGAATTCCATGAAAAATAACCAAAAATTAAATTCTCCAGATCTGATAAAGTATATAAGTTTTACCACTAAATATATTTCAGAATTTAAGATAACTAACCCTCAAGAATTGATTATGTAATTCATAATTTTACCTTTCTTTAACCCGTTCGTGACCAAGGTCGCGTGGACGCGACGCAGCGATTCCACTCTTATCAGCCCTGCGTCGCTTCCAGGTGAAGAGCTCCGATTGATATGGAGAGACCAGCGTCGCGTATGCGTAATCGGAACGTTTTATTTGAATTTTTAAATGCTACTAGATGGCGTTAAACGGCAACGGTTTTCACAATGGTCGACTCATATGGTATTTGACCTTCATGAACGGGCATTGGTTTCTGTTCTATGCTTCTGTATTTGATATATTTATTGATGTAAACAAAGTGAGAATCACGGCTCTTTAAAGGGCTGGGATTTATTGGTCGCTGTGTTTTATTTTTGACAGATTGTGGAAATTATGGAACGTTTATTAGTTGAAATGTTGGAGTAGAATTGCGTTTGTCTTTTGAGGTTTGACAGAGCGAGATTTCGAATAGATGAATTAATCAAAATAGTGAAATGGAAGAAAGAATTTTCTTCTAGTTAATATAAACAAACTGGGAAACACGGGTGTTTGAAAGGGCACGTGTGAGTTCAAGTGACTTGTTTATTGCTTTGTTTTTTTCATTAGGAGAATATGGGGGAGTACATTCAGCGGATTAGCAACGGGTAAGAGTAAAATATTTATGTTCGGTTTTTGGCGCCTTTTTTTTTTTTTTTTTTTTTTTTTTTATGTGTGTGTTTCGTAGAAGTTTTAGGATATGTGATCGGAAAATTCAGTGAATTTATTTGCATTTAATGACATGAAAAAGAAAAAAGTGCTGATGTTATCAACTATACATGACGGCGTTATTGTGCCAATTGGTAAAAAAGACCGAAAGACTAGAAAGGACATTTTGAAGCCACTCTGCGTTGTGGAGTATAATCACAATATGGGGGGGGGTGTTGACACTGGCGATTCTATTATTCATCACTATCCAGCATTTAGAAAAACCGTAAAATGGTATAAAAAGTATAAAAAGCTGTTTTTTGGTTTGTTAGATATGGCACTTCTAAATGCAAATGTAATATATTCGAAGGTAAAAGGCGAGAAAATATCTTCTTTGGAATTCAGACCAGAGTTATTCATCAATAATAGGAAAATTCGCTAAACCAAGGAGCTCAAAACTTGTTCAAAATTACCACCGGGCATTCAACCATTTCGTCTAACTGGTAGACATTTTCCAAAAATTTATATGATGGGAAAGGAAATAAAAGTGGAAGAAGATGTGTCGTATGTGCTAAAAAAAATCGAAAACAAACATCATATTATGAGTGCAAAATATGCAATGTTGGACTCTGTGTGGATCCTTGTTTTGAACTATATCACACACAGCAGAATTTTTAAATTTCGATTTTATTCAGAATATTTTATTATTCTTAATTTCCTCTTTTTTTATTTTGTGTTTGTAATATTTGCAGCTTTGTTTTATTGTGTATAGTATTTGTTTTCATGTGCATAGTAATAATTTTAGTTTTTTTGCATATTTCATTCATTTGTATTAACGTTATCTATTTTTTTTATTTTAATACATATATTAAATAGAAGTATAGTATATATATAATTTATAAATTTGGAGTCTTTTTTTAAAATGCTGATTTTATACGAATTTTTTTGTAAACTTAGGCTTAACTGCTTAAAATGCGCGGGCCGGTAGTGACGCTCCGTTTCAGAGCGTTCGTTCCCGTGACTGAGTTTTATTTCCGGCGCGCTGGTCCTTAAAGGGTTAAATTTCAAATGATACCATCAATTAATTTACGTAGTTAAGCAAACATTCTATTTATAGGAATCTATAGGTACTATGTTAGTTTAGGAGTTAAATAACAAAAATCAGCATTATATATCACAATAAAGATTTTTGGTGTTTGACTTCTAAATTAATCTTCACTCGGCATGTTATTGTAATCTAAATTATAGGTACTTATGTATTAATGCAATCCCCTTGGCACAACTTGGAGAATTTTTACAGACGAAGAGGTAAAAGTTACTTTGGCACAAGTTGGTGGTTTTCGCACTTTTTTTAAAAGAAAGATTCCCAAACTATCAATAATCATAAGTTGGTAAACATAACTATATGAAAAGAAAGCTTTAGAAAATTAAAATGCGAATTTAAATTATTAAAGATGAATTATGCGACATATTTAAAAAATTAAACACTTGCATTCTCCTTTAAATCTTTCTGCAATTTCCCCTCTCCTATTCTTCTCTGGAAGTAAACAGTGATCTGTTTTTGCTTAGGAAAAAAATCAGAGAATTGTGGACACTCAGCCCTGACAACAGGAAATGCATTTCCTCACTGTTTCTTCTAGAAAATTTTCAGCACTCCTGCAGAAATTTTACAGTGGTTTCTTACATTGCTAACAAATTGTAGGAGCTCATATTTTAAAACTAGGTTAAATGGAAAAAATATCATGATTTGTTTATAGAAACAGTTGGAATATACCAAAAAAGAACTCATATAGAAATGGCAGAGTTGTTTCACTGAAGGACTGTTCTGATGATGGTTGTCGAAAGAACGGTTACACAATAGGTTGCCAGAATTTGGACCATTCTGTAAATTTGATGGCTTCTAAAGATGGTTGCATTAATACTCAAATATATTTCCTTAAATAATAAAGATAGAATAACATGTTATCATGAAGCAACTGAAGTAAAGATTTCCCCATTCTTATGTAGACATAAATTTGGTAGGATTACTACAACTTATATGAACATGCAAAGGATATAATTGCAATTTTTCTGATACGAAAATTTTTAAATATACTCATTTCTATAAAAATAGTAACACAGAAAACAGAAAAGGAAATTAAAACAAAATTTATGGGAAACACAGAGCTAAATCGAGAATGCAAATGATTAGAAATAAAGAGAAAATATATAGTATATACCAGTGCTCAGCAGCACCAACTGAATAATAGTGAGAAGCTTATAAACACATTGTCAACTTCTGAACAGTCAAAAACTAATTTATCACTACAGTCAAAAGTCATTAATTCGGACATCCATAATCCGGACCTCAAAGCTTTCAACTTTCTGTGTCAACGCATGCGCGTAAGGCCTTTACGGCTGAGAATATGCTTGTGCACACGTGCGCAAAATACGTTTACGAGTGCGCGTTTAATGTATAACGGACGGAGCTTATTTAATTATCTATTTCAGTTAATGTTGCAGATTGCGTTGTTTCTTAATCTTCGAATTGGATCTGGCTTATTATTTTTTGCAGACTGTTAGAGCAATTTTATAAAAGTAAGCTGAACTTTCGATTAGTCAAATAGAATTTCTGATATATATTATTAATATGTAAATGATCTACAAAGCGAAAGTATGTTTCGAAGTTCATTAAACAAAAAGTGGATTGCTACAAAAAATGGATTAAGGCATATCATAAACTTCTTTTATCTTTAACTATGTTTATCTTTAACGCTGCGGAATGAATTGGAAGTTGACCTGTCAGCACTATCCTTATCTTCAGGGCAGATGTTTTTATTTTATTTGGCTTATAATTCCTTATTAAATGTAGTATTTCATCTCGATGTACTCCATCTTTGATTTGATTTAAATCAAATTCCTCATCATTATAATTCGCTTCCGATAGCGATGAAAGTGACAAAGGTTATTGAAAACGAAAAAATTTCGATTGACAAATTAGTCGGTATTCTCGACACAGCAATTATAGGACTTGAACAGCGGAACTTTGTAACTGAACAAGAAATTATGTCCGTTTATAGAATTAAAGAGAATGTACTATCACATAGAAAATGAAGCAACTTAAACAACTTACATTGAAAGAAATGTTTAATAAAGTAAACAAATAAATATTAAGCTTTTTTTTGTAAATTTTGATACCCTTTAGACCATAATTGTTCTTTATTTCATAAATTATGGTTTCATATTTTTAATTTTATAATTTCTGCATGCCATCTTACCAGATTTAAACTCATGATCTATAATCCAGGAATCGCCGAAGTCCCGACGAGTCCGGATTAATGACTTTTGACTGTATAAATGAACTGAAAGCTGTTTTACAGATATCATTACACCTAACCAAGGCCAAAGGACATCATATATGTAAACCCACAGAATTCCTACAAAAATGGATTATTAGGCTATATGAAGGAAGACGTTTGGTACTGCAACAATGCCACCTATACAGTGCATAATATCATGATCGTGATATGAAGGTAGAAGCTGTAGACAATAGAATAGGATGAGTAAAATCTGGCAAATAACCATGAGCTGCAATGACACCACAGCATTATAAAAATCTTAACTGCATAGCTATGATGATCTATGCAGCTTCCTCTTGAGTGTTCACACAGCGTAATAAATGCATGGCATTTTTTGCTTCGTTGATTAACAGTACCTGCTGTACAAAAGAGTGTATTTAAATATTCGTTTGTGCAGGCTTCGTATGACAATAAATCATTAAAATTTCAAACTGCAGCAGTACATAAACACAGGCAATGGTTAACCTTTGGCAAGCTTTTGTATTGGTTTATTTTCTACATTTTATCCTTGTTCCACTCGCATACAATGTCCTCCCCGTGTGTTGCTTTGTCTACCATGTTTTCGTTTGGCTCAGCTGCACCATTTTAAAAGAACTCTAAATTTACTTAAATTCAATTAAATAATATATGATTCATTTATTTATTATTCATTTATTCATTTATTTATTATACTATTTATTAAAATGATTATGACAAAGTGTATTTATATTTAATTGCATCATCTAAATTTTATGCTTTTTTGCTAAGTTGATTTCATAATGTCCTTACAAGTTTAAAGTTCGGTTTATTGAGATTACAGCAAAGCATACTAGGGCTATCTGCCTTCTTACACTTCCAAACTGAGAAAATTCTGAGTAGGTTAGTTTTAATTTTCCTAAGTAATTTTAAACACTGTGAAAATAAATTAATAATTAATGTATACACTGTTGTGTGCATGAACTTAGTAATGATACATATAACGCAAAGTTAAAATTGTACAAAAAATTAAATTCAGATATTTACTAATTAAACAGTTATATAAATGTCTACAGCAGATTAACACAATTCACATCAAACAAAATTTAGTAAGAAAAGTTATACTGAAGATCATCAGGGATGAGAGAATTCAATAATTTTTAAAGCAAAAAATGTACAATTTACAATTTACAAACATATAAGAGTAAAGAAACTGACATCACTGAGCCGGGTAACAGAGTGGATATATATATAAATATATTTATATATGTTTGGTGCGGCCGATTGCAACCAAAATACGAGGTGCACATCTACATGTTATAGCAGTCCTATATACAAAATTTCAGCGTTCTGAGGCTACTCGTTTTTGAGTTATGCAAGATACGTACGTACGTACATACGCCACGAAAAATTCTCTTCAGAATTAATTTTAAAGCAGTTTTATAATTTTTTTGAAGAAAAAGAGTATTTTATTCTGTCCTTACGTACAGATATCATGCAAAAACATCGTTAAATTGCATTTTGATAGCGGTCAAAATGGATATTTTCGTTGAAATATGCTGCCTGAAACTTTTCGCGATTACAATACTTCCTTTTTACTTCGTACAAGGAAGTTAAAAAGGTTAAAACATTTTGCAGTGAAATCCTAGTGATTAACAATTATAGCATGCACATAGAACTGCTGTTGTGGTCGAACGGCACACGTGAGCAAATGAGAATTACTGCGAGCAACAGTAAAATCCTAGTATATGGCTTTGGCACGATTTTGAAAATTGTCGCCAATACCAAAATGACCCACTGACTGCTCATTATAATGTCGCAGAATCCCGCGTGTACCATACATAGGAAAAAAAAAAAAAAGGTTTAAAAAGATTTTGCGGTAAAATCTTGGTATATGCTACAGCCTTGGCACGATTTTGAAAACTGTCCCAAGACCAAAATGACCCGTTTACTGCTCATCATCATGTCACATGTAATTAAGCACGGATTTTCATAGTTCCCCCTCAAAATAACTAATCCATTAATTTACTTCTGCCGAAAAATATTTTCTTTTACTTTAAAAGTTTAAAGAAATTTTAAACAATATTCATTTTACAAACTCTTGATAACATGACCTTCGAACTTCGGCAATGGCTTCGAGCTTTCTCGACAGATATTTCGTGCATGCGCAGCTGTTTCCCTTTACGTTGGAACACAGCCATTCCTGATGCAGAGAAGTTTTCCTTCTTAAATACATATTCTTTGATTCTAACCTCCATAGTACCATACTGTACACTAGGATTAAACTGATTTTATTTTATACGAGAATAAGTATTTTGTTTAGTTCAACATGCACTGCACATGTGATTCTCGAGGTTACTGGAAACTAAAAGTTGCTGGTAACTTGGTTTGCCTTTCTAAAAGACAATCTAATTGCAGCTGTGAATATTGGCTCTATGATAGCTGCTCGAATGACGCTCACGCAATACACAATTAGCCAAGAAAGTGATTGCTTCCAATGTCGGTGCAAAACTAGTTTTTTTTTTGGGGGGTGGGGGGAATCGCCATATGAAATTCCCTTACTTTTCCCTCAATTTTCAAATTCCCTGAATTTTTCTGGTTTTTCAGGTAGAGCGGAAATCTTGTTATACCCTTCCTTTGTAGAACATGAGCCAACCCTATTCCAATGATATGACTAACTACTACATATTACCTAGAATGTCTGACTCTTCAAAGCACAACAAATATGTCTTCTTTCCTGGCCTATCTGCTTTGTCAGACATGTTGTTAATTGAACAAGTATCCGATAATGGACACTTGGCAACTGGCTCATCAATCTCCTCCAGCAGCAAGTAATAAACTGCAGGTCCATGTGAAAGTAGGCATTAATTCAGGAAACAAAGTCATAGTGTTTCTTGACTTGGGTAAAATAAAGCTCTTATTAACAATCAAGATGGCATCACTAAATACTGCTTTTGTGCAAATAATAGTATTAGTTAAAATTTTTATATATTTCTTTCTAACACCATTAGTTGTACAAATTTAATCTAGCAAATTTTTCAAGGTGCTATTCCCAAAAATTTATGTATAGTTTATAAAATTAAAAACTCTCCTACTACACACAGAGAGGGGAGGGAGAGAAACCAGGAAATGAAAGGTAATGAAAACAGTATTATGATACATTTCTGAAGAATGTATAAAAATGTCAATTTCATGTGTGTTGCTGAAATCCATCAGGCTGACATCTTCTCACTAAGCCAATTATTTAAAGTATGATTTATTTGATTACTTTTGAACATATTATAGAAGTGAAAAATTGTCACATACATGTTTCACTACAAGGAACATAAGCTAATAGCTTTGGGTTATAATAGCTTAGTTAATAAGTTATAGCTTTTGGGAAGATTTTCCAATTCTCTTCAGTATTACACAGACTTAAAATATACAATTCAAGATCTTTCATGATGAATAAAAGGTACAATTTATAAACATAAAATTTAAACATTTAGAACATGTTTAAAAATTTAGAACATGCGTAAGTAATTAATAATTACTTATGCACTGGCGTACTGAATATACATTGGTGTACTTACGCACTTCCAAGATGACCAACATTCCACAACTGAAGAAGACCTTTCTCTTCAGGAGTATCAGTATAAGAATAATAATTGTTTATAGAGCTACCTGTAGCAAGAGCAATATACTGCGTAGTTTGGATATTAGGTGTGGGACACCAAGCAGCACTCCATATTGGACCACCAGCAAAAAATGTAAGATGATTTGATGTCACTACAAAATGACAATCAAAATCATGAAGAAAAAATTTATTACTGCACAATAAAAATGTATTTTTTTAAGTCATATACCTTTAATTTTTCTCAGATTACAGCACACAATATGGAAAACATAACTTTCAACCATTTTATTGCAGACGTTATTCTTACCATCTAATGGAGTACTATCAAAACAATTCAGTTGAAACCAATCAGTTTCTTCTTTCAACCAAGTTTTTTCAATTTTCAGCAACAATGAATTTTTTAGAGGTGGCAGAGATTCTTCAAATTCTTTGCCAAGAAGACAGTGCCAAGTTGATTTCTTTGGTTTATATGAAGGAAAGAAAATACCAGCAAAGGAATTTCTCCCACAACTGCGGAAGAAACATAGGTTAACTTTTTTTTTTTACATGAAAGTTACAACTCAAAATCTATTCAAAAAATGCAAAACAGCTCATATGTACAAATCATTTGTAATTTGTACAAATACAAATAAAATAGTACATTAACAAGCCTGCCCACATCATAAAACGGCATTTAAAGTGACATGTTCTGTTAATGAGTTAAACAGGGTTCGTACGCATTTCTGCACAAGGAAATTAAGGACTTTTAAGGAACATTAATGAAAAAAATTAAAGACCTATGAGCAAATGCAAACTGAATAAATTCAATTAAAAATATATCTATGCCTGAATGTGAGTAGCTTGCATTATTATTAAACATAACTTAGCATAATTATTAATATTTTGAGAATAAAAATAATTTTATGAAATTTATCAAGTAGCATTAAATATTTTACACTCATAATAACTGGACATATCTGAAAGAAGATAAGTGACATTTTAGTTACATTTTACTAACAGTTAGCTTTTTTTTTTTTTTTTTTTAATGTCTCCTTTTGTCACACACTAGAGGTTTAGTAAGTAGATTTTATGTCAAGCAGCATAGGTTAAAGTGAGCATTAAAATTATAATCAGCATGATTCATAACAAAAGACTGGCTGTTGTCACCACTCCTGCTCGCCTATAGTAAGACCTGTTAATCAGAACAAACCGGAAAGGCCTGATGTAGGCATAGTTAGCAAGTTTTGAAAATTAGCTGACGACTGTCTGATGCTGTTAGTGTCATAGCTTTGTGTAGAGTTCCAGGGATTGTAACTCAGTTAATATAATTTAAGGTTCTATTAGGCCACTAAAGCAATTAGCGATGATAAGTTGTTTTGTATTAAGTCTCACTAGATGCAAAGTATAAGTTTCACATGAATTTTTATACTTTTGTGTTTTACCTTATGACCACGGTAAAGGTTTAACACGTTGAGCCCGGCGCCAAATTTGTTGTCCTTTCTGTTCAGCCGGCAGCGATCAGCCAGTGGCAATATTGCAGACTTAAATTATTCATAAATTATACAAAAAGGAAGGAGACGCATATAAAGTCCAAAAGTATTGTTCGAAATGTTATGATGACAATTCAAAACTATTTGGATGCAAGATAGCCAAAAATGTAACCAAAATAGTTGTTTCATATTGTAATATGTGTAAAGCTAAGCCGTATTTTTGTTTAAAATGTTTCAATAAATTTCATTAAAACTACTTTTGATCACATTTCATTGAGACTATACTTATTTTCTAACTTTAATACCGTCGGTCCGGCGGACTGACGCCAGCCAAACGAAAATTCTAGAATAATATTTGTTAAAAAACCCTATTAATATCACAATCTCATAAAATTTCACAGTTTAAAATACATGCAATCTATGACATTGATTTTTAAACAATATTAGGGTAATTACACATTAAAATCTACAAAACATAAAACTCAACAAAATAATTATGCGTCTTTTTAATTTGAAGGCCTGCCCAGACATTTTGGCTAATTTATATCAATTTCCTTCTCCTTAAACATGTTTTCTAACAATTAAAAATTTATCTCAATATGCAAAACAATGTTCTCATTAGTTTCTGAGTGTTTTATCTCCCAACTGCCAACCTCTCCACAATGTACTACCTATGAGGGCTTACTTGATCTGGTAAAAGTTAAATAGTCCAACAACCCCCCGACAGACGTGAAACAAATTATCACTATGTCTGAAAGTAACTATAAATCAGATAATAAATTTAAATAAAGGTTTCAATAAGCTTCTTATTCAAAAAGAACTTAAAACATATAGGCATGTTCTTATGCAAACAAAATCATTTACAGTTTGTGGTGATATAATTAAACAAGAAGAGTCAAATTAAAACTAAAAATATGGACTAGTGATCAAAGACTATACAATTTAATTTCAATTTAATCTGGTTCAGTAACTCTATTGTCATAATAAACTCAAATGTCTGCAACAGTAATGGAAAGACTAATAATTACAAATTATCAGAGCTGACACATCTAATCCAAAGAGCAAGTGGAAGTCAGAAACACACTTGTCTTACACTCCAGAAACCTTCATTTTATCACATTTTTCTGGAATCTTTTAGAATCTAGGGTCTATAAATTTGCCTTAAAATCTTTCTAAACTTTCAGAGCTTCAACGCCTAAAATCCTAAAGAAAAATTACCCCTACCAATTCTGTAACAGCAAAAAGCCAGAAATGTTTTTAAAAAAAATCGGAAGAAAAAAGTGTGAAATCAATTTTATAGAGAAAACTGATGCATTTTCTGAGATTTCTGATCATTCTGAAAAATGGGGAAAATTCTTACCATGAAAAAATTAAAAAGACATTTTTAATTAATTACATAGCTATTTTGCTTTTGCTAAAAACTGTTTTGTAAACTGTGCTTTATAGCATTATTCCTTGCTTATTTTTCAGATTCAAAAAATTGTACAATATGTGGCCAAAATGGAACTTTATAATATGACAAGTGAAAAATAAAATACTTTATTTTAATATTATTTCTTAAATATAATTCCAATATATTCCATTTCTTTAATGAAATTTAACAAAAAAAAAATCGTCAAAAAATTCCCAATCTCGGAATTAAAAATTTTCTATAGAAACCGATCTTAAAATCGCCAAAATGTTGATAATCGCCAAATTTAGAGCCGTTTAATAAAAGAATTCACATGCCCAAAAGTGGAGAAGTTGTTTGAGAGCTCTTCATTACAAAAAATGAAATAATTTTGAAATGCCTCATTGTTTCACTTCTTGCTCAGAAACTCGAGTATCCTACCATTATTTATATTACAAATAGGAAAAAATTATAACTCATGAACCCATTCAAAAAATAGCCATATTTGTCAGTGAATCACCAAAAAATATTCCTGCAAAATGCTAATTCACACTTGAAATGACAGTCGCAAAAACAGACAGAAATTTCAGATGATTAAAATTAAGGACCTTCTGCCGCTTTTGGCCAAAATTAAGGACTTTTAAGGACCAAAAATCGATTCAAAAAACTTAAGGACTTTTAAGGACTCTTAAGGACCATACGAAACCTGTTAAAGCTTTATGCTGCATACTGTCTTACTTCTTTTTAGCTCATGTAGCAATTCATCAAAGCACAAGTTAAATGCAAATACGAGCTAGGGAAGTTAAATATAGTTTAACTGCCAGATACTGTTCAATCTCAGGTACTCATAGAAGAAAAAATTTTTACAATTAACACCACCAATAAGATATCTTAATTAAGAGGAATTAATTTAGTTCAAAGGTGTAAAATTCCACAGGTTTACTAGTCAAACTGGTCTAGAGCTTTGCCCACTCTAGAGGCAAAACAAATTGTAAACTTGTATTATAGGAAGCAAAACTTGTTTTGAACACTTTCTTTAATTTGAAATGCTGAGTGAATATTTAGTCAAGCTGCTGGATTACTATGTTTTTACTTATTTAATATTTAACAGCACTGCAATACTTATTTTGATACATATGATAACTCTTTGAGTCTCTTTGTGTAGCTGACAATGATAATTAAATGAAGTTAACAAGATCAGAAACTTGAGTACTAAAAACTGAAATGTCAACCTTTTTACACTGCAGATGACATTTGTCTCAAATGATTCCTTCAATCACTTTGGGCTTAAGGAAGCTTTCTTCAACAGAGGATATTGAAAGTATGTGATCATCTTTTTCCTTAAGCCACTTTTTCATTCAAGATTGCCTTCTGCCATTCCAGCTGTTGTTTGGGTTTAAAATGAATCTGCTTTTAGAAAGTTATTTCCTTTTCTGGGAAAGGGGGCATTTTTTAAAAAAGCAAATTATACACATTTATCACCATACCCATCTCCTAAATCTTTACTTATTCCTTCATATAACTTCTATAATTAGAATTAGACTAGTGCATGATGGATGGAGGAATTCTGGATATGATGCAGCATAAAGTGAGCATTTGCACTAATTATAAGCACTTACTTTTAATTGTAACACTCGACTTATATTGCATCAGATCCAAAATTTTGTCAGCGGTTAACCATTTCTGGCACTTGGTTACCAACTAAAAAAATTTGTAATTTATCCCAACACCATTTTTTTCCCCAAACTTAAGTCTCTCGTGAATTTTCAATTTCATTCTGACATTGCCATTTGCTACACAAAAATACACATTAATATTATAAACACTGGCCAATGAATTAGAAACCTTTCAGATTTTCATTTAAATGCATGCTAGGGATGAAGTATGCATATTTTTTTATGAAGTGGGTTACACATGGTCAAAATGCTATTATAAGTAACAGTGCTTTTCACAATGAATGAAGTAAAATGGGAAAAATGACAGATTTTGCCCTATTTGATAAAGAGCTCATTGTTAGCATCCATCTAGCAGGGGCCTTGGCTTTGAAGACAGAAAAGCTCACTGGGTTCTCAAAATCAGCCATATCAAAGGTTTTCAAAAGTTGGAATCGGACACCACAATGCTTTTCTAGAAGACATAACTGCAGTTCAAGCACAATTTTCCAAGAGTGATCGCCGGCATCTCTGACGAATTGTACAAAACAGGGACTCTACTCTGCTTCAACTGACACAGATCGTGAACCAAGGCTCTTCCCAGCAGATTTTAGCTCGAACCATGTGCAGAGAATTGCAGAGGATAGGAATGCATGGTCGGGAGCCTGTGAGAAAAACCACTCATTTCTGCCGAACATGCAAGAATTCGTTCGCAGTGGTGTTAGGAAAGACACTGGATATCTGAGGATTGGAAAGAGGTAATGTGGTTGGATGAATCATGCTACATTTTATTTTGCACTGATGGAAGACGTCGAATTTGGCAAGAACCCATGAATCTGTTGTGGACCACACAGAGACGAGAAAATCATGTGTGTGGTCCCTGCAAGGTTACTGTTCTCAAGCTTCTATGATGTACCAGATGACATAGTCTGGCATCATAGATGCAATAATTTTTTCCAGGTAACAGTGAAAGAGACATAACTTCATGCCCAGTGTCAA